CCGCCAGTCTTCTCACTTGGGAGGCTCTGATAGCTCTGTGTACATCCCTAAGCCAAAGAGGCCAACCAAACCCAGTGATGGCCTCCGGGAAAACAGAAGGGGACATAGGACTTATGCTTTCCCCTGCCCCTTTCACCCCAGCACTGAGACCTTCTCAAATTCACCTCATCCTATCGCTCTGTTTTGTGCCTTCCTTGCCAGTGTTGGGAAGGGCCTCTTGTGGAAAAACATGTACAAGACAATTAGTGAGTGATTCATGGTTCTTTTTAATGTCCCAAACTGCACAATTCAGGTCCATCATAAAAATGAACAAGTTCACCCCAGACCTGACAGCCTGAAAACTACTGCGCAGTGCTAGGCTTTCAGAGGCTCCACACATTACCAAAGGCCACATGGGATCTCTGCAGAGACCCCTACCCCTGGCTCAGCCTGGACTTCTACTCTCGGTGGGGTACACTTCTGCAGTGAACAAACTGCACAACACACGGACTAGAAGCACTTCATTCTCTCCGGGGCCTCTGACCTGAGCCCCCTGCACACTGAGTCCCACGTGCAGCTTCTCGGGAAGAGTGAGAAGGTGCTTTCATTTCTCTCACCGGTTCATCCTACATCAAGCAGATACCCAAGTGCAACTGGTGAAGCTGCACGGTTCAGAGATTTTCATTCCGAGGACTGTCACTGATGTGACAGTTGTGAAGTCACCTTAAAGAACAATTAGTACCAAAGCAATTAGTACAGGATGTCCTTTGTGAGCCATGTGTGGTGGCATACACTTATAATCCCAGTATTCTGGGAGGCTAAGGCAGGAAGATGGCAATGTCAAGCCATGCCTGGGTAACTTAGCAAGACCTTGTCTCATTAATTTAGGAAAAATAAGCAACAGATACACCTCAATGTAACAGCTCTGGATTCAATCTCCAGTACCCCAAGAAAAAGAGAAAGCCTTTGGAATACAAACAGCAGTAAAACCACAATGCACCACACTGTTTCAGAGACTACTGCAATCTACACAGTCACAAACACTGGCTCACGAGAAAGCATGGCTCAGCCCGAGCATGGTGTAATCAGAGGAGAGGTGCCAGCTTCGGGGAAGGAATCACCCTCTTTCTGACACTCACTAGCATGACCACAGGGCAAGATAGTTTTCTTTTCTTGCTCACCACTGCTTCGTTGCAAGGAAGAGACATGGTATAGGTCTCTCCCAGTACAAAGACTGTGGGGTCTGAGCAAATGAACAGAGGATCCCAAGGGAACTGGAAGTGAGAGATGGTGCACGTCCACCTCCTATGAGAAGGCAGAAGGACGCCACCTTCCACCAGCCCCAGCCTCGCTCCTTTTCTTCCTGCAAATCCCCAGAAGGACTCTCCACAGCAGGAGCAGGTGCACCCAACCCATCACCTCCACCCTCCGTATTGGACGCCTGGTGACAGCAGGGTTTCTCTGCTCCTCGGGCCCAGCTCATCTTTGCTGGAGCCAGATGAGACCTGGGGAAGGGAGGGTTCTGCTGCAGGTGGTCACTGCACCATGACATCCAGGGAGTTAAATAGATGAGTTTAAGTTCTTTCCTAGTTCTAGTTCTGAGGCTTTACCTTTAAAGATCGCTAGATTCACATTTACCTTGAGGACCCTTCTTCATTTTCCTCTGAAGATCTTTTCTGGGAATAAAACTGTTTTGGAAGAAAAAACAGTCATGAGTATCCATCAACAAGACCAGTATCTCCCAGCCTTTGCTTGTTCCTTTGCTTTGTCCTAAATCTTATCTAGAGGTTACACCTGTAACAATAGCACTAGAGGCTGAGGCAGGAGGATCGCCATGAACTGGAGGCCAGCCTGAGCTACAAGGTGAATTGAAAGCCACCCTCAGTTACTTAGTGAGATCCTGTCTCAAAGGCAAAGCAAAGCGAACACTGATAACATATCTGAAGACAGGAATTCTATCCTGCTAATCACGGCTCACTGATCTCACATGCAGCTTGCACAGCATATCTGCTTGCTTGCTTGTTTGTTGTCTAGTACTGGGGTTTGGACCAGGGCCTCTGTGCTGAGCTACATCTCCAGTCTTTTCTTTCTTTCTTTCTTTTTAATATATTTTATTGTTTAGAAGCAGAGTTTTGCTAAATTGCACAGGCTGTTCTCAAATTTGTACTCCTCCTGCCTCAGCCTCCCATAATTATTTCAGGTATCTGCCACCATCCCCAGGTAATTAATACATTTTATTGGCTTTTTTTTTTTTTAATTTTAGGGAAGGGTCTACAGGGTGTTCAGGGTCTCACTACTAGCTCGGACTCTTAGGGATTCTCCTGTTTACGGTCTCCCAAGTGCTGGGATGACAGGCAGGCGCCACCACGCCCAGTCTCAATTGCTGTCTCAGCATGCCCTGGGGGGTGGGGCTGGCACAGCAGGCCTGGGGATTGACTCCCAGCCCCTGTGCCTCCTTGCAGGGGCTTTAATCCACAGAGCTATCTGGCCGGCCCTCTTTATTAGCTATTTTAGATAAAATTCAACAAGTGATTCCTAATAAAAACTCTTAAAAGAAGAAACCATCTTAATGCAATAAGAAAATCTGCTGGGGAAATAGCTCAGCGGCATAAGAGCCTGCCTGGCATGTGCAAAGTCCTGAGTTCAACCCCCAGTAGTCCCCACAAAAAAAATCGAACAGAAATTTAAACAATGTATTTTAAAATAAAAACCAAAGTGAGGAATGATGGCATGTTCCTGTGATCCCTGGACTATGGCAAGTTCAAGTGCAGCCTAGACTGTGACTTTGACCACTGACTGTACCCCAGATGAAAAGTAAAGCAGCCTACAAGAGGTAAGAGGTACGCACATGAATAATCCCGTGGTGCCTCAGCTTGTTTGCAAAGAATTTGGTTTTCAAACAGAAGCATTTGGCAGAATTTTGTTTTTTGTTTGTGAACTCCATCAGGTGACAAACTCGACCACGGCCATCTTTCCCACACAAACACAAATGTGTCCATCTTATCCGAAATCACAGAACAAATCAAGTTCATGAACTGATGTACCACTGTACCATTTCCATTCTACAGTAGAGACCTCAGGCCTCTTGAAAGGTCAAGGAAGTCAACCAGACCCTAAAGCAAGCTCTGGCACAATTTCTGAGACCTGACTCTGAGTTTTGCCAGTATCCCTCATGAGGATTTGAAAACACTTCAAAAGATGAGTCCATTTGAAAAGTTATGTAGGAGGCCTTTTCTGTCTTCTGATATAAGAGACCCAAGGACCACAAGACTCTTACAATATCTCACTAATCCTAAGGACGACAGGATATTGAACTCTACGGGAACAAAGTCCTGCTAACTCCTAGCCCAGGGTGACCACCTAGTATCCACTCTAGAAACTGAGTGCTTAACAAAATTTGTAAGGAAAGACTCCTACTAACCAACTGAAACCAAAATGGAAGGGCACCTTTTCAGTGATCTTTGCTACACCAACTGCAGTAAAGGCGGCAGGGAGAGATAGCAGGATGCACCTTTATACAATAAAGGCAGCCCCACTTGAACTCTGCAGAAAAAGGCAAGAGGGGAGGGGCAAGATGGCAGAGTGGTAAGCAGCAAAGAAAGAACCTTCCAAGTGTTACCATCCAGATGATGGAATATAGCTCCGAGGGGAAAACTCTAAGCAGGCAGTGAGTGCTTTGGACTCAGGAAGGAACTTAGGCAAGAACTGAAGCCCACAGAGTGAGTGAAGAAAGAAACTTTGAGGTATCCAACAGTGTCTTCTCCCTGAGGCAGGAGACACTGTAGGAGAGGAGCGACTCAGACCTGCAAACACGCGGTGAGTGCTGGCAACCCCAAAGGTCTCCACAGAGAGGTGCAGCAGTGGAGGGGAGCCGCACACACGAAGGACTGTGCTAGCTGCCGGTGTGTGCTGAGGGCTGTCAGCCCGTGAGACAGTGATTGGCATGGAACTGTCTGGAAGATTGGCCAGCGAAGCTCAGAACTCAGAGCAGCTACTGGCTCTATCTAGCAGCTCCCAGCGGGCTCAGCCCCACTCGAAGTGTGCTGATGGGTGCAGACCACCAGAGTGTGCAGGCTCACAGGAGTTACTTGCTATGCCATCAAAAAGCTACTGCA